CTAAGTGCTGTTGAGTTGATTCCGACTCATAGTGACCCCGTATAGGGTTTCCAAGGAGCAACTGATGAGTTTGAATTGCCGACCTTACCGTCCAGTACTTTATCTACAGTGCCACACCAGGACTCCAGCTCTTTTGGTTTAAGAGACATGAAATTGCTGAGATGAAGGAACTGTTTTTAAAGTTAGTAATACCAAATAGTCTTCTCCAATAGTTTTAGGTATTTATATTCCCACATAGGAGCCCTGATAGCACAGTGGGTTAATCATTTAGGTACTAGCTCAAGGTTGGTGGTTCAAAGATACCAGCCTTCTTATGGGAGGGCGATGAAACTCTCTGCTCCTGTAAAGAAGTGGTCCCAGAAACCCTACGGAACAGTCCTGCTCTGTCCTATAGGGTCACTCTGAGTCAGAATCCACTTGAAGGCAATGGGTCTATAGTCCCACCAGCATATGAAAGTGCCAATGTACAGCATACCCGTTATACTTATTATTCCAATTAATAAGTTTGTTTTCTTATAAATAATATGTACCATTATATATATGTGTGTGTGTGTGTGTGTATTTTTAAAATAAGCATATTTTAGGCTATAACATATATACAGAAAAGTATACATTAATGTATGGATCTTTACATTTTCACAAAGTACACCCATGTAATCATCTACACATCAAGAAAAAAACATTACCAGTAATGTTGTTGATAAGTGCTGTCGAGTCAGTTCTGACTCAATAGTGACCCTGTGTAGGAGCAGCTGGTGGGTTTGAACTGTCGACATTTTGGTTCATCGTCTAGTGCTGTTCTTACAGCACCACACCAGGAGTCCCCCCCTTTAAGTATTAGCATCTGTCCCTTCATAGAAATTGTATCCATTTTCACTTATACTTACAATATATGAGAATGTACATTTCCTAAAACCTTCACCAACTCAATTGGCTATTAAACTTACAGAACTTTGCCAAGTTAAATAGATGAAAAATATTATCTTATTTTTACTTAGCATTGTTATCATACTAAGTGAAGATTAGCATCTCTTCATCTGTTTAAGATCCATTTGTATTTTTGTTTCGATAAATAATCCTTGTCATTTCTCATTTTCTTGATTTGTAAATGTATCATGGTGTATTTTAGGGAAATATTGTCTGGCTTATAGTGGCCTTGTAAAGAGTTTCCAGAGCTGAAAATCTTTACAGGAACAAAAGGCCTCATCTTTCTCCCAAGGAGCAGTTGGTGGGCTCAAACTGCCAACCTGGTGGTTCGCAGCCTAGTGCTTATCTTACAGAGTTGCCGGGTTTCTTGTATATGATATATGTTGTAGAAAATTTTTCTTTGATTTTATTGTTTTTCTTGTAGATATTTTTATTATATTTGTGGTGTTGTAGGACTAGCACTGGTCTGCTAACCACTGGCAGTTTAAACCCACCAACCACTCCTTGGAAACCCTGTTCAGGGTCCCTATGAGTCAGAACCAACTCCACAGTAGCACCTAACAACAACATTGAGTATAAGGAGTCCTGGTGTGGCACTGTAGTATAAGCACTGGACAAGTAACCTAAAAGCCAGTGGTTCAAACCCACCAACTGCTCATCAGAAACCCTATACAGGGCTACTATGAGTTGGAACTGACTAGATGGCACACTACCACCACCAGAGTGTGTAAAATGAATTGTTTCCAGGGCAAAGACTGGTTGAATATCATTTACATTTTTATCATTTGCCTTTTCTCTTTGGGATGTTGCTTCTTGAATTCCTGATTTTTATTGGATTTTCTTTTTCTGAAACCTATAAACTCTTTGTATATTAAGGATATTATTCCCCCAAAACAGTTAAATCCTTCTGTCATTATTTCTATTTAATACTTTATGGTGTCATTTTGGGGATTTTTTTAGGAGCCCTGGTGGCATAGTGGGGCTAAATGTTGGGCTGCTAACCGCAAGGTCAGCAGTTCTAATCCACCAGCTGCTCTGTAGGAGAAAGATGAGGCTTTCTGTTCCCATAAAGATTTATAGTCTCAGAAGCCCTGTACAGGGTTGCTGTGAGTCAGAACCAACTTGATGGCACACAACAGCAGCAGTTGCAGGGGTTTTTTTGTTGTTGTTAACAGCTTTGGGGGGGATCTGATTCAGATACCATACATTTACCCATTTCACCTATACAATTCAATGGCTTTAGTCGTTCAGAGTTTTGCACAATCAATTGTAGAACGTTTCCATCATACTCCATAGACTTCTTACACCCTTTAGCTATCAACCTCCTTCCTCCCCATGTCTCCCAGACCTAGGCAAACATTAATTGATTTTTTTTTTCATAGATTTACCTATTCTGGACATTTAATGTAAATATTACAGTGTATGGGTTTTGTTGAAGTTTTGTTTTTGTTTTTCAGACAGATGACTTTAATTTAGCATAATGTTTTCAAGTTTCATCCATGTGGTAGCCTATATCAATACTTTAACTTATAATTGCTGAATTGATATTCCATTGTGTATATGTACCACAGTTAGTTTATCCATTCATCTGTTGAAGGGCATTTGAGTAATTTCCACCTTTTGTCTATTACGAATAATACTATTGTGAGCTTTCATATACAGGTATTTGTGTGGACATATGTTCTCATTTCTCTTGGCTATATACCTAGGGAAAGAATCTCTGGGTCATTTGGGAACTTTGTATTTAATCTTTTTCAGAACTTCCAGATTGGTTTCCAAAGCAATTGTACAATTTTGTACAAATTGTAAACACCACCAGCAGTGTATGAGGAATTCAGATTTTCCACTTCTTTTATTTTCCTTATGGATATGGTCTTGAACGTCTTTTCATAAACGTACTGGGTTTTTGTATATCTTCTTTGGAGAAATATGTATTTAGTTTTCTTTTGGGTTTTTTGCCCTATTTTTAGTTGAGCTACTTAATCTCTTTTATTATTGACTTGTACATAGTTCTTTATATTATGGTGTCTTTTACAAAATGTAATTTTCATATTTTCTGTTTAGCTATTTGTCTGGTACTATTTATTGGATAATCTGTCTTTTCCCTCCTTTAACAAATATTTATTGAGCAAATACTTTGGGATGTACTTTGTGTTAAACCCTGAAAAAATACAATAGAAAGATATATAGTTTACATCTTAGTACAAAGGTAGACTTTGTGAATAAATAATTGCTGTTCAAAAAGATGATTGTTTAAATGAAGATTTATGAAAATTGCATATGGCAATTAGAAAAGAAATACCAGTGTCTTCTTAGAGGAGGGAGAAAAGGAACTAAGGAGAGGGGGTAGTTAGTGAATGGAAATTTTCAGAACTCAAAGAATATGAATCACTCCTTTAGATATTCGTTCATTCAATAGATATTTATTAAGAACTGAGTAGGGTAGGAAATTTAAACACTAAAAATTGTTTTGTAAGTGTAAAATATTTATTTCACTGTTTCCTCAAGTTATATTTAAATATCATTTTGAAAATGAAAAAGGTGTCTTCTTTTGTGATGAATGTTTCATTCTCGGTCCTCTTGTACTTTACATACCCTTACTAAATATATCATTTCTATTAGAATGATTGTTATTTCACATTGGTTTAAGTAAATATGAGAAGCCATTTTCCTATGGATATGTTTGAATCTACTAATATTCAAGGTCATTATTGAAATAATTCATACATTCATAAGAAGAAAGGAGTACTGGTGAGGCACTGTGGGTTAATGTGTTGGACTGCAAGATCAATTTGAACCACAAAGTCAATGGTTCAAGCTTACCAGCTGTTCCTCAGAAACCCTATAGAGGGTTGCTATGAGTCAAAACTGACTTGATGGCACTTAACAACAAGAAGAAAGGAGCCCTGGTGGTGCTGTGGGATTAACATTGGGCTGCTAACTGCAAGGCTGGCACTCTGCCGAAGAAAGATGAGACTGGCTGCTCCTTTGAAGATGTTCAGTCCCGTAAATCCTAGATAGCATCACTATGAGTCATGATTAGAGTCCTAGTGTGGCAGTGTAGGGTAAGCACTGGACTGCTAACTGCAAGCGACACCTTGGAAACTCTACACAGTGTTACTATGAGTTGGAATCGACTCAACAGCACTTAACAATCACAGTATGAGTTGAAATTGACTCAATGGCAGTGGATTTAAGAAGAAATAATTAGCTACCTTTCTTTAATTTAGAATCTTTAACTAACATAGAATATTTAACTCATAATACACACTGTTTGTTTCCTTACAAAAGAATTGTTTCCTTACAAAAGAATCACTTCGCAAAATATAGTTATGTTTCAAAACTAATGAACTTCTATAAAGATTATTTAGATATTTCTTGGTGGTGATTATATAATAAATGTTTCATTAAATTATTTTATATATTTATTGTAGATTCTCAGATAGACTCAACAGTTATCTAGGGTACACACAATCATTGGCTCAGAAACTCTGACTAGAAAATGGGAGGAAAATCTAGTTTAAGATATAAAGTGCTAAGTGTTCTATTTGTTATTATTAGAATACATTTTAATTGGTTTACATTTGACACCTCTCTATCAGATTCTGAGTCATCCTTGGAATTTAGTTAACCAAATGAAAAACTAACTGGTAGGTATGGTATGACGTAACTGTACTATCTCATCTCGTACTTCATAAAACTACAGCATCTTGACAGCTTAATAAAGACTTTTGAAATATAAGTATAAAGTGAACAACAGAAATTTAATTTTCCCAGATCTAAAGAAATTAGAGTCCTGGTGCGGCACTGTGGACTGACACAAAATCGTTTGAACTGCAAGGTCGGTGGTCCAAGCTCACCAGCTGCTCCTTGGAAACACTATACAGGGTCACTATGGGTTGGAATCGACTCGATGGCACTTAACAACAACAACAAAAGAAATTGTTTTAGTTTCTGCTTGTGATCTTGAATCAGTAAAGCATATTAGTGAATTTCATGGGGAAAATGAGAGCTGACTTTAATTGGAGGATTATAACATAACAGTAATAATAGCCTGCTGTTTCTTTCCACAGTTCTCAGTGGTCTCTGTTCTAATGACTGTCCTCGTAAGATCACAGTAAGTAAAGTTAATTTACAGTTGTAAATATTTTTGTCAATATTCTCTACATGGTGAGATAATACAAGACAGTTGTTATAGGCCACAATCAAATTGTTATTACTCTTTGGAAGTGACAAAGTATCTTTTATTTATTTATTTTAAGGTTTTTATTGTGGATTGAGTGAAAGTATACAGGGCAGATCATGAGTGAAAATTTACAGGTCAGATCATCAGTTCAATAAATCATACACTTTGTTTCATTACAATGTATATAATCTCCTCCATGTACCATCAGTTAACAGTATTTCTCTCTATCCACTTTATTGTTGTTGTTGTTGTTTTTAGGTGCCATCAAGTCGGTACCTACCCATAGTGACCTTATGCACAGCAGAATGAAACACTGCCCAATCCTTGGCCAACCTCACTATTGTTGCCACGCTTGAGTCCATCGATGCTGCCACTTGGTCAAACCATCTCATTGTGGGTCTTCCTCTTTTTCTCTGACCCTCCACCTTATCAAACATGATATTCTATTCCAGTGACTGGTCCCTCCTGACAATATGTCCAAAGTATGAGACACAAAGTTTGGCCATCTTGGTCTCTAAGGAGCACTCTGGCTGCACTTCTTCCAAAACGGATCTATTGGTTCTTTTGGCAGCTCATGGCACTTTCAATATTCTCCTTCAACACCATAACTCAAAGGCATCAATTCTTCTACGATCTTCCTTATTCACTTCCAGCTTTTGCATGCATATGAGGTTATT